ATATATATATATATTTATGTATATGTATATATATATTTATGTATATATATATATATATATATATATATAGTCCCTGGCCAAATTATCGGACCCGTGTTCGCGTAATAATTGGTTACCATTATAATGCAATAAGTTAAAAATGAATACAAATTGGAAGTATATAAAAAAATTTCCTGACACAAAACCCATTACATGTATGTTTAAATATAAAAGTATAGCATATAAATTCGCGCAAATCCTGTAGTTATTAAAAAAAATATAGTACGTCTAATAATTTGGTCTAATTTTTATAATATACTAATATAATATAACATACTGATAAAATAAATATTCTATATTTATATAAAAAATCGTCTAATTTATCCAATCGTCGAATTTAGATTACATATCTTCTAATTTAACCAATTGATACACGAACGTAAATAAGTGCAAACAGGTTTTAGTCGTTTAAAAACAATAAAGCTACGTAGCATCATCTGATAATCAAGATTTTACATAGAATCTTACTGTGTGTCTAATAATTTGGCCAGGAACTATATATATTGTGTTCATAAATGTTATTTCAAAATATTGTTGCATATATACTGCTTATCTACTAAATACAATTGCATGTTTTTTTGTTTCCCTAAAAAGACATATCCTGAAATAAATATAGTACTTAATATTTTTTCACATTATATTAAACATAATATTTCCTCAATACCTCCCAATGTATAAAGAACATTCGTTTTTTAAATAAAAATTAAGCATTAGTAACTTAAAAATTGTTATTGTATGTTAAGCCTAAATTATGGTCCTTTGCTAACAAAAGTTATTTTAAAATATTATCTATAGCAAATATTTATTCTTTATATTTAAAAACATAGCGTATAGCATTTTCAGTCTTATATTTTGAATGCGATAAAGATAAGCTTTCAATTTATCTCAAAATAGGCATCTCCCGAAGGATTAGCGAAATTTTATCTGACATTTGGCAATTTTTAAATGCTAAAAAGAAAGCAACATTTATTTATTTACTTTAAATAAGTAAATTTTCGTGTTCTTAAGAGTGAGGAGGAAAATATTTCATTTGCCTTGGCAATTTCATGAAATTTCAATTCATCTTTCATATTTCAGCAAATTCCATTATTTTAAATCACTGAATTTGGAGAAAAAATACATTGATTCAAGTAAAGTGCAAATTACCTTCTATAATGTTAAAATGAATATATATCATCACCATAAATATTTTCCTACAATATTATAAACTATTTTATATAACTACCTTAATAAATTGTAATTATCACAAACAAAGACTAATTTCCAAATTAATTGTTCATATCATCATTAGATAAGTAAAAAAGCTTAGGATTAAATTTATTTGCGCGGAAAACAAGTATTTAATAACCGCTCATCCGAAGCGCCTGGTTTTGACGCTACTTCCTTCCAGCTGAAACTATTAAGTGAAGTATTAACTATCTTTTGCATAAAAAATAACTAACCTTTTTTTTAAATGCATCATCATGACACATTTTCTCTTCTACAAGACTTCACTCCTTATAATTTTATTCTATACATTACATATTTGTTTTCTATTAAGCCTTTGACTTTATTACGTCGCTTCTGGTAACTGACGATGTTTTTAAATGGATTTATCACTATCTGACACATATAGAAACAAAATTCAAAAGTGTGGCTAATCTTTTTAAATACAATAGCTAAATTGTTAAGCATTACGGATTAAACTAAATAAACAAAATTTTCAGGTCATATCATTAAAAATCAAAGAAAAGGATGTCTAGGAAAATATCTAGCATCACTAGGAATACGAAATATTAAAATGTTATTTTATTTATTGAAATTAAATTGATTTTAAATCACTAACCCTTTAAACTATCTTTTGTGTAGTCAATATTACGTGTTTACTCTTTTCATCATATTGACTTTCTTTTGCAATGAACTTCTCCTATCACAAAACAATTGTACTCACATTACAAATTAATTCTTTTTCCTGTTTTTCAATTTTTTTTTTTTACTTAAACAAATTAGTTTTTTAGTTGTCTACTATGTTATCCTACTTTCATAAACTCGTTGTTAAAAAATTATTGTCACTTTCAGATGATGAGAATTTTAAACCTGTTCTTATCGTATATATTTCCTTATAATTAATTTCAAAAAAAGACATTTTAGTTTCACAGTTTGTACTTAATTCTAAAATTAAAAAATGCTGAAATAGTACTTTCTAGTTTTAAAGGCATGTTTTTACTGATATTACAATTCACAGAACACGGATGCAGTAATTTTTTACTTTTTAAATTGTACATTTCATCTAAAATTGAATTAAATTTAAGGTGATTATTTAATGCTTTTTAAGCATACTTTCTTAAAGAAATTGAATAAATACAAATAGACAATATATATAGAATTATAAAAACGAAAGAGAAAATTAATGCATTTGCGTATTTATGAGCTATATTGCCCCAACTCAAGTAAAGCTAGTTACCATTTGTTAAAAATTATAAAAATATTTCTACACTAAGAAAATAAGTATAGCCAAAGCTACCAAAATATAGTGAAATTTATCGCGATTTTGACCCTAAGGGAACACTAAAAGCCACTCTATAGAAACACCACTGAAGCTCTCTGCTACTTATGGTAAAATCAACAATAATTAATCCCAAGAAACTAAAGCGATAAGATATTACATCATTAAAAACTTGACTCCCTTCAGAAATATACAAAAGCAAAATCGCAGTAGACATGTTTCAAGTGCTCCAAAAACAGGCACCCATTATCAAGACCTGCGCAAGTCTTAGCAAATTCAAGTCAACGTCAGTGAAAAAAAGAACTGAGAAAAAATATATTTAACAGAAAAAATGGTGTTATGAAGTTTTATTAATTATTATTGTTTTTCTATTATCCTTTATAGCTAATTGCTTTATAGATAACTAATTTTTATATACTTCCTGACAAATTTCCCATCGGGTACCATATTTTGAAATTGTTTAATTATTTTCTGCATAGAAAGGGACCAAGAATGCATTAGAAACAGGTCGTACCTTCGCGACCATCTTCGCCGATATGGATTTCCGACAACGATTATTGGAGGTCCACAGCGAAGCTGAGTTTAAGAACGTGCTCCTGAAGCATGCACAGGACTTGGCAGCTGAACAGAGCAACCCTTCCAAGCGTCTTGGAACGCACGATGGGGATCTGGACTTTGATGTAAGTTCTCCTTTAAAATATTTTTTTTTACTCTCAAACATTTATTTCAAAATATTCTAAAAGATTTATATCCACACCATAACCATTTATCCATTATTAAATCAATTTTGTTTAAAATTTTGCGCACACATAAATATTTCAACCCTTAATATTTTGACTTGAGTTTTGCGATTTCAAAAGCACGATGTAGGAAAGCTCACTTACATGTTAAAAATAAAATTGATTATTTCTGCTAAATATCTTGCGATTTAGGTTCAAATCACAAATAATATAGATTTCTCTACTGCAGCTCATATCTATTATTGTTTTAAGGTCTCATACTCAAATAAAAGTAAAAAAACTGTAAAAAAATTATAATAGTTCTTTATAATTCAATTTTTAATATTTTCATTTGATTTTAAGTTCCAAATCACAATGAAGTAAAGTTCACGTAGCATATTTAAAGTAATGTAAATTCTTTGTTCTAAATAATCTTATTATTCAGTTTCAAACCACAGAGACTATAAATTACTCCACTACAACTCATATCATAGAAATTAAAAGTTAAAAAAAATGATGTTATTCCAAATGAAGAGCACTTTTCCGTGTTTATATTATTATCTGCACTTAGTAACTTACTATTCTAGAAATCCGTCGAATCATTTATTAAAGCTTGTGTTACATTTATTTTTATTTACTTAAAGAGGGAAAATATCAGAGGTAGGGAATTGTTTGCAATATAGATCTGTTTGTAATTCTGCCATCTCTTCTACTCTGAGTTAGCTAACTGAAAATTTCATTAGATAACTTGCAAGTGATTTTTCAAATATCCAATTTTATGATTTTTGATTTATCTATGGTGGGTTTTTAGTTGATTTTATTTAATTTTCTATATTGAACGCGACTTTCATTTCTCTTGTTTTTCAAGTATCCGTCATATTAAGAATGTTTTCAAAAATATTTTTTCGGAAATTATTTTACTCTGTTTAAACGTCAATTATATTTTAATCTGCATTGTTGTTGGCGCAATACTTTGAATAATAAAATGTCTTTCGTGAAAGCTGAATAGATTAAATTATTGACTAAGACAATTTTATCCATCCTAGTTGCAACTGGAAATTTTTTGCAATATCTTTTTTACCTTGTACGTTTCTTATAAACAATTTATGTAGTCTAATTATAATGTATTTTAAATCAAAAATCATATTTTCAATCCATTTTTAAATAAAAATTTATTTTGTGTCATAGATATTAATAAAATATAGAATGAAGCTGAAAGTAAACTAAGATTTGAGGCACATTGAAAGCGGTCTTGATATAATATAATTAATAAGTATCTCTTGAAATTTATCCCTTTTTGACTAGTAAAATAATTTCCATGGAAAACATTAATGAAGAATACATAAAATAATAAAATAATATTTTTGACATTATTAGAAATTGTATACTTATAATTAAAAATACCAAATTTTTTAATATACTATAACATTTTTAATATAAAATCATATATATTACCTTTTAAATTTTTATTTTTATTTTGTGACAAATACATATAAAACCCACTTTGAAACTGAAAACAAACTTAAGTTTGTAGCACGTTGAACAATGGTGCTATTTAGAATATGATTAATAAATAGCTTTTGAATCGTTTATTCGACAAGTAAAATAATTACTATGAATAATAAAAAACTGTATATCTTATAACTACTTTAAAAATATTTTTGGTATTATTTCAATTAGCCGTTCCAAATATTTTATAACTTTAACATGGCCAAAACAGAGATACCTTTCTTCTATCCGAACTCCCATTTCATACACGGTGAAAAAAATTCTGCTAAAATTACCGTACTGACATTTCTGTGAGAAAAAATAATAATTATGGTATTAAAAACCTAAATATACGGTCTTTAAGTCATTCATTTGGAAAAAATTCTATTATCATGGTAGCGGCTTACGGGAAAATCTGGTTTTTTAAATTATATTACGTTTTAAAGCACATTCAAAAAAGAATGCGAAACAGAAAAGTAAATTTAACATTAAAAAATATTTTTATACTATACTTTAAGTTATCATGATAAAATAACCAAATTTTCTACATTTTACTACTTTTACCTAACCTTATCACTAACTATAAAACCATATTTTATAAGTAATTTTACCAAAATCATTGCCAAAGTACTTTTGTAAAACGTACCTAACTTTTTGCTGTTCTCATAGAGCCAGAAGCACGGCCAGAAGCACGTACCATATTCTGCTAGTTTTGAGCCTACTTTTTTCCTTGAGAAGAACATTTAAGACAAATCACAGATAAAGTGATAAAAAAATAAGTCTACAGTTTTTTCTAAAAGCATTTTACTTTTATCAACTAAAGATAAGATTAAATATTTAAAATACAATATTTTCTTATTTATTTTTTAACGAATTTAATATATATATATATATATATATATATATATAGCCTTATATGCTTTTTTTCTTATAAAAGACGCAAATAAGTGATGAAAGTTAGAAGTACATTACGTATTTTGGTTTTCTTTAAGGAATCAAAGTGCATGTTAGCCCAAGGCTTGTGGGATGATATACGCAGGAGATCTTCGCTCTATGTCAGTGACTTTATAGACGGTAAGAGTCCATCGACTTAGATAAAACTCTTTTGTCTGTTATGTTATTTGTACTCTGCAGTTTATTTTTTTATTTCAGGTTTTGTGGGACATAAGACAATCCATAAAACATTATCGACTATATTTTTCCTGTATTTCGCCTGCATCCTTCCGACTATCGCTTTTGGCGCCCTCAATGACAACAATACACAAGGACAAATAGGTAAATACTTTTACTAAAACATGCATGTTTAAAATAGAATTCTGCTTATCGTGAATGTAAATTAGGCTATTTAGTAGTAAATAGGTAAATAAAATAATACTAAATAAAAATTTAAAAAAAATATTTTAAAATTGAGCATATTAAGAGGGATTTTAATAAAAATATTGGAAACAAACAGTTGAGTTTTAAAAATTAATCTTTAGTTCGATAGATCGAAGAAATGAAGAAAAATTATTTAACTTTCAAAGTGCAAATTTATTTTGCGTTTGTCTTAGTTTCATTCTTCACACATAACGTCAAAAGAGGTGCTGCGGTACTGAAACTTTTTAAAATAAGTTTATTTTTTTATGCCAAAAAATATCCCTTTGAAAGTTTTACGTTGCAATTCGCAACGTTTTTCCTTTAATAAATAATCCATTTCAGATTATTTATTAAGTGTTATGAATTGAAGCATGTTTTATCCCTTAACAATTTAACAATAATTTAATTATGAATAAATCTTTCTTTGGATAGTTTAGCTGTTAACGTTACACTAAAGCTACACCACAACATAATTGTGTGTAGCTGAGGTTTTATATTGCTTGATTCTTTCATCACTTCATTGCTTGATTATTTGATCACACCCATGTGATCAAATAATTCGCTCTTCACAGCCCACGGTATCATAAATGAAACAATCTTTTAAGACTATAGCGGCCCACCATCATACGAACGTGATGTCAATTTGTATTTTTGTTTTACAACGCGTATTAGTAAGTATACTTTCAGAGTGTACTGGCTTTGAAGAATCACTCCTTTCTCCATCATCTATACCAGTGTTTCCCAACGTGGGGCCCACGCCCCACTGGGGGGCAATTTGATTGTTAAGGGGGGCAGTTCGAAAAAGGACTCTACAAGAGTTTTACCTATTTGCTCCGGGCCATTTAAATACAATGCTAGATTTCGGTGCCAACATTGTAAGAAAAAAAGCAAATTCTTAAATAATTGCGGTCAATGAATATTTATAAACTCATGAGTGAAGATATTGAAAAACAACTTGTTGACAAGCGAAAAACAAGAAAATTCTCAGTGAAAATGGAGGAATCAACTTTGATAGACAGTGCGGCAGTATTGATAACTTACGTAAAACGTATTGATAAAGGGCATTTTGCTGAAGAAATGTTGATATGTAAGAGATTACAAAGCACCACTTCCTCCAAAGATATTATATAATAAGCTAAAATGATATTATATAATAAGCTAATATGATGGGCAAGAAAAATTGCTACTTAAAATTGATGAAAGATGAGAATCCAGAAATGATTCTTGTGCATTGTGTTATTGCATAGGGAATAAAGTTGTGCATAGGGAAAACTTGGTAGCTAAAAACATCTCGCCTGCTCTAAATGAAGTACTTACATTCAGTAATAAAGTGTATCGATGCTATTAAAGCTAATGCCAAATGTGAGCTCCTCTTCAAGCTGTTTTGTGAAGAACAAAATGCAGACCATGTGAGACTTTTACTTCACTCTGAAGTAAGATGGCTCTCTAAAGGGAACTGCTTGAAAAGATTCATGGAACTGCTTGAGACTCTTAGTGATTTTTTAAGCGACAAACCTGATATGAAGTATCTGTTAACAGTCGAAGGTAAAGCATTTGTGAGTTATTTAGCCGATATCTCTGAAAAACTAAATATATTAAATAAGCAACTTCAAGGAACAAATAAAACTCTTGTTGATACAAAAACGAAGATATTTGGTTTCATTACCCTTATTGAGTTAAGTCTGAAAACAAAAACTTGGATCAGTTTAATTGTCCCCAAAAATTAAAAGTAAATGATGCCGCCTTTACTTGTAATTGTCGATCATCTGAAAATTCTATCGGCTGATTTAAAAGAATGATTTTCTGATTTAAAACAAATAGAATTTTCAACACGGATGATGCAGCCAATGTTAGTGCATTTGTCTGTTATATGAAGTATGCAGTATCAGGAAGAACTCTCAGAAATGCAAAATGATAAATCAGTTAGAACTATTTATTTTATAAAAGGAGTGATGGCATGGCTTTGTGAGGAAACAGAAATCAAGTAACCAAATTCAACCAAATATGCAAAAAAACTATTGTTACCGTTTCCATCTTCATATTTAACTGAATGTGGATTTAGTGCTGTAAATGATTTACGGGTAAAAAAAGGAAATCGCCTGGATATAACACAGTGGGGAGACTTGAGGCTGAAGCTAACCAAATTGGAAACTAACATAAAATCTCTGTGCAGCAAGCGCAAGCATCTCTCTAAATTAAAATATTAAATTATTATAGAAAAAATCTTTATGAAAATGATTTCGAATTTGAATTTTAGTTTTTCATTATAGGCCGAAATTTTACTTACTGTGTTTCGTCAACAATTTTCAAGAGATTTCTCACTGAAACCTATCATTTAAGTTTCTTATATGAACAATTCAATTTTTTAATATTAAAAATTATGTGTATGTCACATAGGGGGGCATAAGAATTTTAGAAAGGCTTGAGTGGGGCACGGCACAAAAAAGGTTGGGAAACACTGATCTATACGGTATAAGTATAAATGTTTTGAAATATATTAACATCAATAATCTTTGTCCGTATCTTATTTTTCTTGCAGATGTCCGAAAATCCATTATTGGTCAAACGTTAGGTGGCCTTGTGTTTGCTTTGCTTGGGGGCCAACCACTAGTGATTGTCATGACGACAGCACCTCTAAGCCTCTATACGAAAGGCAAGTATTATTTAAGCGATTATTATTCATTCATAAAATTTTAATTTCATATTAATATTATTATTACTATATAAAATTATTTTTTAAATGTCCGATAATGATAATTTTTGGGTGTTTTTAAATTTACTCAGCAATTGTGAAATAAATAAATAGATTAAAGCTTGATGGAATTAATAAGTCTATAAGATAGGAAAAATTAATGAAAAATATCATTTGAAAAGTTAAGTAATGAATTATTGTTACACTATAGCGTTAATTATAAACAAAGGAGTGCAAGAATAGCTTTAGATATCAAATTTGGCGACAATTCTTTGCGACCTTATTATTAATTGCTAATTCTCAACAATTTAGATCAAAAAATAAAAACCGATATCTCTGTCTTCTTTGCGAATATACGTCTTTAACAAAAAATATTCGATAGTTGATAAAAGATTGTTAATAAAACTGCTCATTTCTTGTATTAAAAAATATTGAATTGATATTATCCATATCAAAACAAATTTTACTTCGTGTATTTTGCAAAATAAACTTTTTGTTTTCTATAGCGCTAAAATTGCAAAGAGCTTTCTATTTATTTTTCGAGAATTCTAAAAACTTATTTAGACGAGTGTTTAATAAAGTGGCATCATTTTTCTAAAGAAGCTCTCGTGTGATGATTTCTCGCTTCAGCAACTCAACATTAAAGCAGACTTTATTTCCTTTGATGCATTGAAATAAATTTCAAAATAAAAACTAATATTAAGTACCGTCATTCGGGGCTACTTTGTGCAGGATTTCGCAGTTTTTGCACTTTGATATGTAAAAAAACTATGTTAATTCAAACTTTAGTAAAATTTATCGATATTATATTCATAACTGGACTCAGACGAGTGAATTTGATCAATATTGGCATTATTTGTATGTAATATTTATGAATAATAAGTCAAAACATACCTTACACAAAGTAGCCCCCAAATGGGGTTACTTTGTGTAGCGATAGGAATTCAGTTTAATAATCATGTTTTTAGTAAAATATTGATATAAAATTGCTAAAAAAGTTAATTGTTGACATTTTTAAGGATAAAAACATCAAGATATGTAAGGATATTAGTTTGAAAATAATTTTCAGCGTTGAAAAACCATTTTTTTTTTTTTAGAATTTTTTCTTAAAAAGAATGTTTATTTCAAAACATTTGAGTTTAAACAAAAGGAAACCATATACATTTTTAAACATTGAAATGGATGAAATTTTAAAAATGATAATTATTACATATTCATTAACATTTATAATACTGTTAAATTTGAACATGACATCTATGAATGAACATGACAGAATTTGCTCTTCAGTTTCTGTCAAAATCACCTGATGTCCTATAAAATATATTTTTATGTGTTAAGTCGTTTGATTAATTCATTAGAAAAATCTTTGTAGAAGAAAAATTATAGTTTACCAGGAAGTTTGACGTGTTTCTTGTGAATTTTATTAGAGATAGTATTTCTGTGGATTTTGTACTTCCGAGAAGCTTCTGCAATCGACATACCACCAGCAACTGCTTGCAAACATTGTTGCAGCTTTTCTAAAGTGTAATCTCGGTAGTTTCTCGTTCCAGGTATTTTTTTTTATAACATCTGACCATTTTTCTGTCGAAAAAAGAAAACGAATGAAACTTTGCACAAAGTAGCCCCAAAGTGCATTTCCTTTCATTTTCCGCTTATTTGTTATTAATTTTCTAATTTTTTTAACGCTAACATGATATAATTGTTTATTAATATATAAATAAAAAATTTTGCACTTACGACAATTGTTTTATCAACGCCTTTGCATTTCACAGATAAAGTTTCTACGCACACTTTTCGACATCCGACGTCCTCGGAAAGTTGCTGACATTGGATGAACGAAACACACTCTGAGATTGTTTTAAAATTCGAAAAATTTTTTGTAGTAATAGAAGAGACTTCTATCTTCAAATTCCACACATTTTTAACGTGAAATAAACATAATACTGAATAGCAGCACTTGAAGAATGCCAAATTCGAATTTGCACAAAGTAGCCCCCGCTGCACAAAGTATGACGGTACTTAATAATATTATTATTACTAATTAATATAGTTTTTAATTTTTTAACTTTTTTACCAGCGAATTAATCTTAAACTAAATTATTTCGATTTATTTGTGAAAAATAATGTGCCTCATTTAAGAAAACATTTCGGATAAAAGTGGAATAAAATTTCTTTTTGAAGAAGAAGAACTTAAACAAATAAGAAAATTAACACATATTAATTTTCAATTAGTTGAAAAATGGATAATACTATATGTAATTATTTTTAAAATATTTAGTTTAAAAACTACTTACTTTTTAAGTACTCGATTAAAATTATATCACATTTGGATTTTTAAAGATTTAAATTGAAAATAAGCTTGAGTATGAGAAACATTTTATGTTTATTTTGTAGTCTCAATTAATGGGAATAATTACGGCTGTTCACAGTCCCCGATTATGTTTCTTACTTCTATAAAGTCAAATAATGTTTCTATATAAGAAATATTTGTATTTCAATATTTAATTATTTATATAAAATATTATCATATTTTTTATTTCTTTCAATCTTCCTTGAGGTCTTTTCTTATCATTTTATTAATATTTCATGACATCGTTTTGCATGTTTCTAAAATTTAATCCCTGTATATTTTTATGCAAGTCAATTGTAAATTAGTTCCTTCGTCGAAACTGCTAAAAATTTACGAACTAAATTGTTAATCATTCAACTTGCTTTCTCTAAAATATAATAGGACAAAAGGTCTGTCATAATGCATATTTAAAGTGTTTCGGGTTATTCATTTTCTATTAAATTTGATTCTAATATATTAATTTTGGCTTAACAAGATCTGCATATTTTATTTTGTTGATAGTTATGAGAAAATAACAACAAGCACTTGATGGTGTAAACACCTAAAAAGCTTAATTTTTAATATTGTAATTATTTTTGCAGCACACAATCCATTGTTTTTTGATAGATTTTGTTTCATGAAGCAACTTGAATGTGAATGCAAAAAAATTGTGTTTTGAATTTCTAGCACGCATTAGTTCCCACTGTGAAAAATATTTTGTGAAGTTTCTGCAATTTTGTTTAAGGTATCTGAGAAGTTCCGACAACTTTGTTTAGCAAAACAAATGTTGAAACTTTATTGTCCAGCGCATGAACAAAATAAAATTCAAATTGATTAAATATAAAATTTTCAGAAAATTTTTAGAAAAATGAATTTTTATTTGTCGTTTGAATAGTAAATGAAAAAAAAGCACTTCAAAACAAAAATTAAAAATTTCTTCATTGAATTTTAGGTAGAATGTTCTACATTCTGAATCTAATACTTTTTCACAATATTGATCTTTAAAATATAACGCTGTTTTGATTCAATTTTTTAAAATTTCACGATCTTATGGGAAAAAAATAATTTTTTTAATTCACTTACCAGAGAATTTTGGGGAAAATATAAAGTTCAGCTTCCAGAATACATTACTTATGTTTAAAATGGAAAATTATACCGTTTAATTTGAAGTATTTTGGGTATAATGTGTACTAGAAGGAAAACGAAATTGAAAAAAAAAAAAACACTTATTTAAAATTTTTATTCGCTTCTTCATCTTATACATCATTGAATCTGTAAAACAAAAGCAAGCATTTATCCCAAAAAAATTCGTTTCATATTTTTTTTTGATAAATACTAAAGAAATGAGAAGTAATTAAATTATAAAAGCAAATTGCATTTCTAATTTCACAAAAATATCGGTCATCCTAATTTAAAATGTTTTCTAATATAAAAAATAAAACATTATTTTAGTATGATATAAATAATCAAAATAATTAAAAATCATAATTGTTCTTATTAACACGAACTATGCCGATTCTAATAAAAATATCAGCTAATAAATTAACATGTGTAAGTCATAGTAAAATATCATTTAAAAGCAAAAAAAAGACATCGTGAATGCCCTAATTGAAAATTAGAACGAAATAAAAGAGTTCTCTTAAAGTTATCCAGAAATTTAGCTATAATTTATTACAGTTATGTAAAAACATTCTCTAATGAAGCTTAAGAAAATTGTTATCCTCTTTTAATAAATAAAAATTGAAACTAATCTTTGTAGTCTAAGTAATAAAGTCCTTGTATTAAAATCAGCGTTTTTTTTAAAAAATTCTATATTATATTGGGGATATACGAATTTTTTTTTAAAAACACTTACCAAAGAATTTGGGATAAAATTTCATTCAGAGTACAAAATATCAAGAAAACTGATTCGTTTAATTTGACATATTTTTTTGTGCAATGGAACGGAAAATAAAATAAAATTGAAAAAAAAAACTCTTTTTGTTTTTAATTTATTTTCTTCTTCCTCTTAAATTTCATTGAATCTGTCGAGCAAAAGTAAACCTTTTTCCATAAACAATTAGCTTAATATTTTTTATTTTGAGGAAATGAGAAGTGTTTACATTACGAACAAAAAAATGCATTTCTAGTTTCACAGAAATCTCAGTCCCCTTATTTCATCATGCTTTCAAATTTAAAATAAAAAAAAGATAATTTTAGTAAGTTGTAAAAACTCAAAATAACTAAAACTTCTAATTGTTATTATCAACACGAAACATGCCAATTCAGAAAAAAATATCTACAAATAAATTAACTTGTGTAGATCATTGCTGAATATCATCACAAAGCAAAAGAGTTCCCTCAAAATTATCGAGAAATTTAGCTACAATTTATTACCATTATATATGAACATTCCCTAATTAAAGCTTAAGAAAATTGTCATTCTTTTTCAATAAATAAAAATTGAAACTAATCTTCGTCGTCTAAGTAATAAAGTCTTTGTATTAAAGCCATCGTGTATTAAATAATATTATAATAAGGTAAGTAAACTACCTAAAACATCATTCACTCTCTTTTCTCTACAGTGATCTTCAATATATGTCAGGACTTCCAATTAAACTTTCACGCCATGTACGCATGTGTGGGGTTATGGAACACATTCTTCCTTGTCATTTTTTCCATCTTTGACGTCAGTCGCATTATGAAATGGTCTACTAGGTAAGCAATCATTTTTATATGTCTTCTCTCATGTTCATTATGTTCAGGTGAGTTAATAAACAAGAAATTAATTAATTATTTTATTAAAAATTATTTTAGCTTGCTTTAATAAATAGAAAGTAGTAACAAGAGTAATAACTTTGAAACTGATTTATGTAACTGTTCAAAAGGGCGAAGATTAAAATTTTAAAAATTTTAAATTCTTAAAGAAAAGGGATTAATTTTATTATTTCAAAATATAGTTAGTGGCTTTAAATGTCTTGCTATGACAGCAAAAACTTTTATTCAAGAAAGCGCGAAACGGAATCTTAAAAAAAAAACTACGTAGCAACGTGTATTGGCAATCAAATGGAAGGTGCGAATCTTTATTTTGCGAACGCAAGAAAAGTGCGTTCTTTTAATACATTTATTTCTTTTTTTGCACCCAAGAAAAAAAGTCTATTTCATTTAAATAAAATGTACAATATTTTAAAAATATATAACAGTAAATAATAAAACGATAGAAATTGTTCACAACTTTGAAATTTCAATTATTTTTACTATTTCTAAATATTGTTAGGACACCTTGAATTGGGAATCCAATGAAAGGTTCGAATCCTTATTTTTCAAACGCAAAAATAACGCATTTTTTGATATAGTTCTTTTTTTTCACCAAAGAAAAAGTATGTATTTTTTTTAAAATAAAATTACCAATATTTAAATACTATAATTACAGGAATGAATAACAAACCAGAAATTATTAACAACACATACTAAATAAACTTTTCGTAATGGTTAAAAATATCAATTAAAAATAATGTAGTTATAAGTCTTTTTTTCAGTCAAAATGAGCATCAAATTGGTATTTCTTAATTTAAATCACCTCTATAATAAGGTAATAAGTTAAAGGAGATATTACCATTCATAAAAAAAATCCAATGCATAAAGATAAATAATTACAACAATCTATTACAACATTTTATGAAGCGAAAAATTATAACAATGTATCTGATATTTTATGAAAGAAAGGTATTTGATCATTTAAGGTTGTTTGTAAAGTGTCTGATTTTTATAACGAGTCCAAAATATCATAAAGGTAAGATAGTAATCGACTTAAGTTATAACGAAAAACGCAAAGGTTTCAATTCCAGGTTTATTATTTATTCGCGACATTTCCAATTTTTTTATACTCTCGCCACTATTAACAACATAAAAAAACTGTATGTTCCTTTCTTTATTAGTTTGATTAAACAAGCATTTCAGATTAAAATTTGAAAAAATTTAAAAGAGTATTGACATTTTTTTACAATAATACGAAAATAGTATTATAAAATAAATGCTATTGAAATAAAATTTAAAATATCTCATAACAGAAGCAAAATTATTTTTACTGCAAAATATAGTAAAAAAATATACCATGTCAATTATAAATTGAAATAATAGAAGAAATCAATTTGTACAATTTTTAATTGCAAAAATAACTCATTAAACAGTTCAAATTTAACAAACTTTAGAAAAATTGCAGTCATAAGAAAATGAAATGTATTTCAATTCAGAAATATGCGACGCAAAAATACACTATTACATTTATGTTAGTAAACTATAGTCCTAATCCGACCCTAAGCGTTAGCAGAAAATAGTTAGTAAAACAAAAGAAATTGAATTTAGATTCCAAACAAATTCAAACTCAGACTTTATAATCCTTACTTCTGTCACTTTTTAATCTTCACTTGGTGCTTCGTGGAATAATTTTTTATATGTCGTGCCAAATAAGGTTTTATTTCAATATTTCTATTTCTATTTACGTTATACTATTTATTTTATTTCCTTGAAACTTTTTTGTCTATTTTTTCCGTTTGTACAATACATTTTACTACAAGCTATTGGTGCTAAGTATTAAAATAATTTTTTTTAATATCGTTAATAGTTTGCTTCTATTGCATATTTTTATACCTAAACTAAAACATCATTTTTAGCACTTATGTTCTGTTACTATTATTAAAATCTTTAATTACATTCAGTGACAGTTTTAAAATTTTTTTTGTTTACAAATTCTAATGTTTTCAATCAGCACATTACAGCACAGTTATTTTGAAACAAAGCTCTATCCACGAAATAACAATTCTAATAAAATTACCGTACTGCATGGCAATTGTATTTTTGGTGAAAAAACATGTAATTCTGGTTATATATATATATAACCAGAATTATATAGTATTTATAAACCATTCATTGGTAATTATATTTGCATTCAAATGGTAACGGTTGTCGAAAAAAATCCAGTTTTTCAAAATTATTACATTTAGTAAAAAACGGTTAGTAAAAAATACTAAACCGAATAAATATTTATTATGATATGCTTTAGGATATCATGATAAAATTACTAAATATTATTACATTTAAAAAAAATTCACATATAACACTATATTAAATGGTTAATTTTACAAAAATCATAAACATAACTCTTTGGTGAAAATTTCCGAGCTCTTTCGTGTTCCGATAGAGCAAAAAGCATTCTAAATTTTACCAAACTTACCAAATTCCAGTAATTTTGACCACATTTTTTTATCAGCTTCGGAAATTTGTTTTACCCAATTAGAAGATTATTCAATCAAAGTCACAGTATTAGAGTTATAGAAACAAAAAACTTATTTCATTTTATTCATTTCATTGCTTGTTTGCTATCGTGTAAATTCCAAAATTTTCATCGAATATTTAGAAAACAAAATCAATTATTGGAACTCTTTTTACAGGTCACTATGCATCAACATAACTCCGTTTTACTCTGAGCTGCAAATCAATTTATTTGCAATGATAGTTTTTAAGTTGACGCCGTACTTTGAATAGTGTCATGTTTCGTTTCTAAAAGTAGTATCCTTATTCATTTCCAGAAAAAGCGTCATTTTATTCCTTAATGATAAAAATTGCCAAATTTCTCTTCGTCTCCTACTTTGTTCTCATAACTTATTATGTGCAAACTGATCTATGTTATACTATCTGTCCACCTATTTTAAGCGAAGAGGAAGTTCATTTCGTTTTAAAATCAGTTCGGTCTATTTTCAGAAAAATGTTACGAAAGACAAAAATATCCTTAATTCAATTCAGGCATTTAAAATTAAGTTATTATTTTTGATACTTACAGAAAGGCATAGAACCATTTTTAATACATATATATATATACAATNTATATATATATATGGACTAAGTAAAGAGCTCTGTTTTTTATTAAAATCGCACAAAATGATTTAAAAAGAAAATTCTTAGAATTCGCTTTTTTAATCATTCGATAGAAAAGATTTCTCTCCGTAGAAAAGGTTTTGTATTTTTATGACTTCCGGGGCTGGTACCCCCTGAAAACACCAGCTTCGGTTGTCATTGTTATATTTTTCATTTTATTTTCATTATTCCCATTGTTTCTTCTTTGAAATTTGTTATTGTTAAAATTCTCTTTCTTTGAGAATTCTCTTAGTTCTGTTCTGAGAATTCTCTTTTTAGCTCTTTAGAATTAATTATTCCCAGAATTTGTGCGAAGAAGTTTATTTGAAAAACTAATTATTTCAACAATGGGCTCAACAATGGGTTAAAAATTACACAGAAAATTTAAAGTGAAATGTGTAGATTTTTTTCTAATAAATAGGAAATTTTCCGAGTATTTTTTAATAATTTGTTCACAATGTTTAGAGGAATTCTTAAGGATAAATCCTAAAAAAATGCTTAAAATAATACAAAAATAAAATAATGCAGAAATTATCCCTCGTATCTAAAAGTCAACAAAACAGCCTCACTTTTTCTTTCTTCAGGTGCTTAATAAGAATATAAATCGACACAAAGGATAACTTAGCCAATGTTTGGAGAAAAAGCTTTTAATTTTTTTTTTTGCAGAATTAAGACTTTTGATGCACATAAGCCACAAACAAATCTTATCATTATTATTTCTATAAAGCAATCTGAAAAGCAGCTTAATGATTTTATGAAATTTATGGCAAACATCTATTAAAATAAAAAAAGTAAGTCACGAAGATTGAAATAAAAACATAGACAAAAAAAACACAATAAAAATTTTAACTATCTTCGCAAATTGAAGCAAAACTGCTAATGTAATTGTTATAATATCCCTTAAAACAATTTTACTGATAAAAATGCCAATATCAAATTTTGTACTTCCTTACAATTGCTTTTTTCTTTTTTTAAAAAAAATTTAGTCATTTTTCAGATCTCGGAAGGAGCGTCAGTTAAAGTAAATGCTCATGATTTTTAGAGAAAAATTTGAACAAGACAAATTGCAAACATTTTTCTCCACAAACCGGTCCTTTATAACGTTCGTAGTCTTCGTATTTTTAATAAAGCTTTAGTTATGGTTACGGTTTTATTTATTTTTGTTTAATTTTATTTTATTTTGCTTTGTTTATTTAATTTTTTGTTAACTTTTCTTAAAACATCTTGCTTATTTTACGAGTTTTCATTTTGTTCAATTTGAACGTCATTGGCATATGCTATTGCATAAACTCTTAAGAAAGAGCTGGATTGTAGTCGAAATAAGGGGTAATTTTACATTTGACTAACACATTAGTGCCACATAGAAGACTGTGATGCCTTATTTTCTATCAGCAGGACAGTGCATCATATAGTGTTATTTCTGAGTGAAAGGAAAATAATCAACATCAATTTTTCCAATTTCCAGCATTGAGTTATTTTTTTTTGTTTACCTAAACATATTCTTGTTTTATAAAACATTGAAACCCTTTAGATAGCTGTGATTCAATAGTCAATGAAGTATGCATTTATGCATTTAAATGACTCGTAATTACTTTGGAGATTAGTAAAGCAACCATTTTATCAAAAAATGCCGTATGAGGACTTTCAGGCATTCTTGTCTTGAGAAAAAAGGTATGTTCAAAAATATCATAATATGATGAAATTTACAGCTTTTCTGGATTTATGGGAACATTACAGAAATCAAACATTTTTACCAAAGCGATTTGATAATGATTTAAATGAAATTAAAAATAAAATAGGGTTTT